ACATATATATATGTATACATATAATCGAGTTTAAACGACTTTTATCCTAAAACCTTTGGCTCATGTGTATATTTCATACATTTCATTGCCATGAAGCATTTGCTAACATTGATTTAACTTTTATAGAGCCTTCAAAGGCTTGAGTAATCATGGAAAGTAAAACGGTTATTAATGAATTATGCATCAATCTTTTCTATCTCGCCTAACATGAGTAAACGAAAAATAGTAAGAGTTTGCATCTAATCTGTAGTTTATTTAAATAGATTCTAGAAAGAACAAAATAAAATGGATATTACATTCTCACTCATAGAAGACTTCAGATAAGAAGCGAATGGTTCAGACACTTTCTGTTAGCTCTATATTGATTATTTGTCATTTCCCGTCAGATCCAAAGATTCGGATTCGTATATATCAAAAGTTATTTACAGAGCAGAGGTGTCTGGATAATTTAAGAGGGGAAATGGAACAAAACATAGATACACTATTATTCAGACTAATAAATTCTTAGTCACACTACTCGAAAAATGCGAATGCTCCTTTATATTATTAAAAGTTAGGATACAATTTTAAAATCAATTAGGTAATTATGAAGTACTGTTAACGCTATAAGAGACATTCAATCAAGAAATGAGCAAGTATCTAGATAAACCCTAGCGCAGCATGCTACTGTATGGGTGTGCAATGCATCAATATAAACGAAATCTTCACCCAAGTTTTGCGGATCCCAATGTATTTAATAATTTTATTTTGCATTATTAAGTCATATATCAAATGTCATCCATCTTTTTGAATGCTCTACCACTTAAGGGTGAGTGCAGCTTCGTGCCACCATCACCCCGTGTTACGATGGTCGGAATACCTAGAACTCCTGCAGAAGTGGACGAAGCCTTGCATTCCAGAGGACCTATTTTTGGGTTCAGTAACTCCTACGCATGCATACAGGATGTTGTCAGCTTCAAGGCCAACGACTCAGCACTGGGCATTAGCCGAATGCTCACAGGAAATGTATCGGGCCCCTGCACATCAGCCCTATATTACCTGGTAGGGCTCCCCGAGACAAATTTATACCTGCTGGTGATGGAAAACTGGAGAGATCGAGAAGCAGAGAATTCTTTTTACCCGTTCAATTGCCAGATTACTCGACGCACAGTAGCAAGTGGCGCCTACCGGATCATCAATGGCACATGTGCACACCAGGATGACTCGGAGGGCACGCTGGCTGAAGAGAAAAAGTGCCCGCCGTTGCTAAACGTCTCACTCACATGCGCTTACAACGCAGCAACTGCGAGAGAATACTGGGTTTGGAACTGGGTCTGGCACCATACTATAGAGAATTCCAGTCTCTTTTGCCTGGCACTGTTGATCGCATTGACAATGCACGCGTTTATAGTAAATTGTAGAAATATAGACTGACTTTCATATGCATTGATAATGTAGCGAAAAATTTATGAAGCCCTACCAAACGATTTAATATCACTCCTTCCAGATTGGCCTAAATGACGTGTAGGGTGTTTATAATAGAAGGCATAAAAGATGTAGCAGAGCATGAATTGATAAATTCACTCAGATTTATCGTTACATCATAAGAGGAATAGGAATGTAAAAAAACTTGATACCAAATTTGACATGTAGGAAGATACATATAACCATTGGCATCCTGCTAAAACAAGTAATATTAGTATCCCTGAAATTTTTTTTGTAAATATTAAATATTTAGACCCTTCACCTAAATACGCAAACGAAAAG